TTGCTACTGCAATTTCATTCACTGAGTGTAATCTGTTTTGCCCCATTTTTTTGGCTTTTAAGTTTTTCTCTTTGTCATTTGTGTTCTCCATTTCATTACCTAGTATCTTGATGTGGATTTCTTTTCTTTCTTTCTTTTCTTTACTTTCTCTTTTTTTCTATTCTGCTTGATATTTATTCTGTTATCTGTGCATTCTTGCTTTTCTTTGGTTCTGGAAAATTCACTCATCATCTTTTCATATATTCTCTACTTTCCCTTCTCTTTCCTTTTCTCGTTGAATTCTAGACATATATTAAATCTTATTTTTCCTTCCATAGCTTTAGATTTCTCAATTATTATTTAAATCTTCTGATATTATAGTGTTGCATTCTAAGTAATTTGTTAAGATCTCTTTTCCTGTTTCATTCCTTATTTCTGCTATGCTGAAGCTATCTTAAGTCACCAATTCTGTCTTCATTACAAGACTTTTATTTTTAGAAATTATTTTTTATTCTTTCTTAAATCTGTTCATTTTTGCTTAATTTCTCCTGGTTTACTCATTTTGTGATTCCATCCTTTGTTTCTTTAAATAGTTAATACAAGTTTATTTTACTGATAATTCCCATATCTGAATTGCTTGCCAATTAGAATCTGTTTCTGCTGACGCTTACCAATGGTGTTTTTTTCTGGATTTAGTAATTGTTTTATTATCAGCTCATGTTTGGTTTATCTTAATTGTGGGAACCATGGGGACATTAAACAGAAGAAGCTTTTCTCCAGAGTAAATTTGTTTTAGCCTCAGGTGGGAATACATAACACTGCTGATCTGGAGCCACTTTAGTCCTATTGTAGCGTCTCTGACTTAATCCGGTGGTATCTTGTCCAGCTCTCCTATCCCTTTCCCTTGAAGCTGCAGCACTGATAAGAACATTTGCTTTTTATGCTCACTGCTGTCCTGTTTTCGACACATGCAGTTTTACATGTGTGTGGTTTTTGTTGTGTTTTGTTTTTCCCTTAGGATGTTTCTCTTATTTCCTATGAATTAAGAAAGAGAAAAACATATTTTATATAGAATCTAATTGTTTCATCTCATGAGGACTTCTCCGAATATCTAATCTGCCAACCTGCTTGAAGTAAACATCTCAAATCACTCATATTTCTTCGTCTTCCTTGCCTTTAACATACATTGAATTTTTCAGGTTTTTCAATCCTACTTCTAAAGTTGTATCCCCACCCTTGCCCCGTTGTTGGCCTTCCCATCTCCAGTGTGTGTCTAACCCCTTATATAAACTGTTTCCAGATTAGTCTGTCTTAGTACAAATTCAGTGGTATTTCTTGGTTCACTGTCCCCACATGCTCCTCTCCAGCATTCAGCTTAGGTATCTTCACTGGTCATTCAGTGCCTTGAAATCCAAACCCTGTAACTTAATGTTCAAAATCCTTCAACATCTGCACCAAATCTAAGTTTTCCTTATTCCTCTTTAATGCTCCATTTTTCTTCCATATGGCTCATTCTTTCTTCCTGTAATGTCCTGTATCTATCCCTGTCATCTAAGGGTACTAATTTTTCTCTTAAGGTCCATCTGAGATGCATTCAGTTTCATTTAATTTTCAAGAATCCTTCCTAGCTCAGAGTAACTGCTCCCTGTTCTGAACTCTTACGGCACTTATCTTAAGGCTTTTATTGTGTGTGTGTGTGTGTGTGTGTGTGTGTGTGTGTGTGTGTGTGTGTGTGTACATATATGTGTAGCTTATGTATTATAGTCTAAACTCATTAGGGAAAATTTTTTCCTGGAAGTCACTTATCATGGTGGCTTCTACATCATAGACCCTAATAATAGTGAATTACACATAATTATAACTTAAAGAGTAACACGTGGGAAATATTTCAGTTTGTGGTAGTGATTACTCATACACTGTCTATGAATGTGCAAAGGTAACCTAATATATTAATAAGTTGTTAATGTGTCTCTATTCCAAGAGTGACTCTACAATAATTTTTCAGTTTTGAAATAATCCAAATGACTGTTTCTTAACCATGAATGTGTCCTCAACTTAGATACATTTTGCTTTCATTAAGTACATTTTAAAATTGTGTTTGGGACTACTTTGAGGATAATCCTGGCAATCCATAGTCACTCATAAGGTATTTCAACCTCCCACCTCTTTTGCCAAAGCTTGTCAGATTCAGAGTGGTTTCAAGAATCATTAGCTTTCTAAGTAAACTGATCTATATGTTTGGTTTCCTTTTTTTTATAGTTCATTTTTTTATTTTAGTCAAATAGGTATAAAATAAAATTTACCATCTTAACCATTTTGAAGTGTACAGCTCAGTGTTATTAAATACATTCACATTGTTAGGCAATCATTGCCACCATCTATCCACATAACTCTTTTCACCTTGTAAACCTGAAATGAAACTTTATGCCATTTAAATAATAACTCCCCATTCTCACCTCCTCCCAGCTCCAGGCACCCACCATTATACGTTCTTTGTATGTGATTGTGACTACTCTAAGTACCTCAGATAAATGGAGTCATTACAGTATTTGTCTTTTGGTGACTAGTTTATTTCACTTAGCATAATGTCCTTAAGATTTATCCATGTCATAGTATATTGCAGAATTTCTTTAAGGGTGAATAATATTCAGCCATATGTATATACTGCATTTTGCTTATCCATTCATCGTTCAGTGGACATTTAGGTTGCTTCTATGTTTTCTGGTCTGTATATTTTTTTAACTGTTAATTGGAAGTCAGCTTGATTAAAACTTGCCCTTAAAGTGTCTCTTATATAGTCTCTTACAAACACAACCTTTATTAATTTGTGAAATTTTTCCATAATTCTGCTCTTTTACTTCAGTCACTTAGATGAAGTTTTATAACTCACTGTTTACAATATTAAAGAAAAATGAATACGTTGATTCTACATTGATCTTGGCAGTTCCATCACTCTGGGTATCAGCACATGCTAATGGTTAAAATATTAAATACTAAAGGGAAGACTTCAACATTAAGTTCTTTCATTTAATGCTTATTTTTTCCATAATTAGTTGATACATTTTTCAGTATGGTTTTTCTACTTGAAAATCACTTTTGGACTAAAGCCAGTGCATATCAATGTTGGCCAGCAGTTTAAATGCTGCCCTCTAAATTCATCACATACCTAGTCAACCAAAAAAAACATGTGAAATGATGACATGCAGCACTGACAAGGGTGTGGAGACACAGGTACACATATGCTCTGTTGTGCACACTGGAAATGGAGTCAGTGTTTCTTTAGAACAATTTGGAAAAGAAGTTAAAAAGTTATTCTTTTCACCAAATAATTTTGATAACATAACCTAAAAGCAAAATATTACTGTAGTTAATTCAAAGATGTCTAAAGTGCAAATAATGAATAATTGGAAATAAAACAAAATCCAAGAATAGCATAATTAAGTAAATTATGTTTATAGTGCAATGATGCAAAGAGCCAAACTAATAAATGGGAATGAAGATGTAAAATTAGGTGTGGGAAATGGCAGAGCATTATCTATACCATTAAAAATTATTTTTATGTACATTGACAAAAATTGAAATTCAGTTTGGGATGATGTCAATGCTTTTGAAAAACTTACTTTTTTTGCCCATTTTTAAACTTTTTATAAAGACATTATGACCTTGTGACTTTGGATGTTAACTTTGTACTAATTGTAGTGAAAATTAAAAGTTAAAAGTACATAATAAGAGTAAAATAATAAATCCAATAAACATCATTCATTGTGAGAAATTCTACTTTGTTACAGTATAGTATATGATAAGAAGCAAAGGCTTTCAAATCAGATTGAACTTGGATAAAATCTTTCCATGACTTTTTCTCAGATTCCGTGTGTTAGTCCTTCTGGGCTGCCACACAGTGGGTGACTTACAAACAACAGAATTCATTTGTCACATTTCTGGAGGCTGGGAAGTTCAAGACCAAGGCATCAGCACAGTGCTGTTATGATGAAGGCCCCATTCCTGGTGCATAGCCAGCACCTTGTCACTGTGCCCTCAGATGGTAGAAAGGGCAAGGGAGCCCTCTGGGTCTTTTTTATAATGGCAGTAGTCTCATTTTACAAAGGCATGAATCACCTCCTTAAGGGCCAAGAGGACTGGTGTCCTGATGAGAAGAGGGGACTCTACACAGAGAGAGACACCAAGGAAGTCACATGAAGGTGGAGGCAGAGACTGGAATGATTCATCTATAAACCAAGGAATGCCAAGGACTACCAGCAACCACCAGAGGCTGGGTATGAGGCATGGGACAGAGCCTCCCTCAGAGCCTTCAGAAGGAACCAATCTTTCCAACACCTTGATTTTAGACTTCTAGTCTTCAGAACCACGAGGCAATAAATGTCTGTTGTCTTAAGTACCAGTTTGTGGTACTTTGTTAAGACAGCCCTAGGAAACTGTTTCCTCCCTATGTTTGGGAATTAAGAAACATACTTCTAAACGGTTTGTAAGTCGAATTAAAAAATAATGCTGGAAATCAAAAAAATGTTTTAAACTAAACAAAATTGAAAAGACCATATATCTAAACCTAAGTGTATAAATGAGAAAAGAAGAAAGGATAAAAATATCAAAAATAAGAAATTAGAAGAAGGAATATAAAATAAACCCAAGAATGTAAAATGAAGGACCCAGTGAAATAAGAGCAGAAATCAATGAAATGAAAACAAAAATACAATATGAAGTATTAGATGAATCTCAGAACACATTGTTGAGTATTTGAAAAAGGAACTTGCAGAAGAATACATGTGATTTTCCATTTACATAGATATCTGAAACAAGTAAAACTAAATATGTTGTAGATGATAAAATATTCTAGGTAGTATTTATGACAGAGCCGATCACACAGGATTGGAGAATAAGGAAGAAAGGGAAGGGGTAGGGGAAGGAAGGAAGAAACTTATTTTGTATATTTGTTAGCATTTTGCAATTCTTTTATGACTTTCCTATTTGTATCCTCTGCCCATTTTTCCATTTTTAAAAACAAGGTTATTGCTGACATGGAGGCCCAAGTTCACAAGCTGAGGGAAGAGCTGATTCATGTGAACTCAAAGCGGAAACAGCAGCTGGTGGAGCTCGGTTTTCTTCGTGAAGAGGAGAAGCAAAGGGCTGCGAGGGACCATGAGACTACTGTCAATAAATTGAAGGCTGAGTCCGAAAAGATGAAAATAGAGCTGAAAAAGACTCATGCTGCTGAGACAGAGATGACATTGGAAAAGGTAAGGTAGTCAACTGGATTTTCTGTAGATATTTGAAGTCCATGCTTGAAATCCCCTGCTGCCACCCTTATATTCAGTCTCTAAAAGGCGGTGGACATGGAATTACTCTTCAAATTTATAAACTATTCAAATGGGCAACTTAAGTTATCTTGCTGTATGTCTCAGTACTACCAAAATATCCAGGGAGTTAGGTTTCCTAATTTTTCCCTTGACTTTCATGGAAGGGATTGCACAGAAAATTAACAACAGTTACATTTACACTATGATAAAAGTGTTATAATATTGTCAGATATGTACTGATCAGGAATATTTGGGCCATGGCCTCAAGTTTTCCTAGGTTGAGACCAGATTTCAGATCTTTCCTAGGCTGTCTAATAGTCATTTGTAGATTTTACAGTTTTTTTTAATCACAGTTTAACATCAATTATGACATGTTTTCCCAGACTGGTATTTCAAATTAAGGAAAGTTTCTTTAGAAGTATATAGTTTTGAAATAAATGTCCATACAAGGTTTACATTTGGAGCTGATTAATATTCCAGGTATAATCTCAACTAATTTGTTCTTTTGTTCTGCAAAAATGTAAATATTTTTATTGGATAGTAAATGTGAATTGCTATTAATCATAACTATAAATTGCCCCATGAGTTCCTTAAAACCAATATATTTTGGGATCAAGACACTTGAAAAGAGTGATTTAAGAATCTTCTGATTCTGTTTAATTTTTTCCACCACTAATTTATCTTTATCTGAGAGTCAGGTTTATCTTAATTCATCCGAGAGTCACATTTTAGCAAACTTTGCCCTTGGCAGCATAGCTCTGAACCGAGAAATAACTAGAAAAAAGTCTCTGAAGAGGCAGAAGTCAGCCTGGCTTCTTGGGGCGCAGCAGGGAGGCCGGTGGGCCTGGAAATGAATGGCCGAGGAGGAGAGGGAGGGGATGCAGTCAGGGAAGAGCGCTCAGGGAGGACCCGGGTCCTAGGTCTGGACCTGGCCGTGGAGAGGGCTCTGCTCTGATCTCCGTGATCGGAGGACACTCGGCAGGTGTTGAGCGGAGGGGTGACGTGACCAGAGTCACATCTGAATAGGATCTCTGGTAATGACGCTGAATATAGACTGAATTGAGGGCAAAGAAGGAAGTAGGGAGAGTAGTTAAAAGGCTATTGCAAGAATTTAGAGAAGAGATGATAGAAGCTTGGGCCTGGGCAGTAGCAGTGAGGCTGGAAAAACCTGATCAGATTAAGATTCTGCCCTGGAGCTGAGCTGAAGGATTTGCCACCAGTCCAGATATAAGGAAGGAGAGAGAGACAGGGAGCACAAGAGTAAGTGCGCAGTCAAGAGCGATTCCAAGGAGACTTGTAGAAGCCGGTGGACAAATAGAGTTACTCTTCGCTGACAGGAGGGAGACTGCAGGAGTGACGGGTTGGGCCATCTGGGACGTGTTCAGGTTGAGCACCTTTTATACTTTTTATACGATCCAGGTCAGGCTGTTTGTGATAATCCCATCAAAGCAGTACAAAATAATAATGTTCTGGTGCTAACATATACAAGTTTCAGCAATTAGGGCAATTTCCTTCAGTGGAATAGTTGAGTTCTCAAGCAATAGCAGGTAGAAGAGAGGCTGATGGAGAGTGACTGTGGTGCACCTCTCGTGTTTCCTGGTGACTCTTACACACCTTCCCTTGGCTTCAGTCCTCTCTGCCAACAGTTCAAAGTATTCCTAAGTAAATGCTCTTAAATGGCACAAGTACCAGTGCACCTTGATTTAAGAAAAGTGGTCATACCAAAGCCAAACTTATAAAACATACAAGTTAGGCCTTAATTGCCTTGAGTTATATATTCATATTTTAAATGCTTCTTTTTAATAGGAGATGAAAAATTTCAAATACAGGTTTGTATGTATTACTGACAGATTAAAGATAATTTAAAAAGTTAGTATTAGAAACTTTCTGGAAGATTCTATATAACCCAAAAAGGCATTATCCCAGGCACTGTGGGGATACACAGAAAAAAAAAAAAAAAGCACAGTGGCTACCATAGGAATGAGGAGGGAGATGTCTAGGCTGGCATGTGCATACAGTGAGACAACGAATTTGACCGGGTCTGTACTGTTGGAACTCAACCAGGAGTTGGGAGGGGTGCAAGGTGTAGCACTCCAAAATCTCATGACTATAGACTATCTATGGTTAAAAGAACATATGGGATGTGAACAGATCCCAGAAATGGGCTGCTTTAATTTGTCTGATTTCTCTCAGACTGTTCAAGTACAGTTGGACAATATCCATCATATCATAGATAAATTTTCACAAATGCCTAGGGTGCCTAAATGGTTTTCTTGGCTTCACTGGAGATGGATGGTAATTATAGATTTGCTTTGTTTATGTCACCGTATTCCTATTATGTTAATATGTGTGTGCAAATTAGTTAGTAGTTTAAAACCTATACATACTTAAGGTACTGTACAAGAAGATATGTCAAAGAAATAATCAATCCTCCCATGTTTCCTTCCATATGCTACATCTGTAGCTTTTCTTCTTTCTTCCTAATTACAACCCTTAAATAGAATTCGTGCCTCATATCGAATTTACCGAGTATCATAATTCCTCCAGGTGGTAAAGATACCTCGAGACAAGTGCTGGGCATAGAAGCCACAGGGCATAAATCTGCAAAGAAGTAAAAAGCTAACCTTTGCAAACAATATGGCTTCTCTCTCACTTACCAACTTTACATTTCCCTGTATGGCCCCGGAAGATGACTGGTTAGCCAGAGACGGGTAAGATTCCTCAAGGGAGGAACAACCTAAGACAGGCACAGTCGCAGGGGGGCCATCAGGTGAGAATTTGGGGATCAACAGAGGTGAGGCTCAGAACCTCACCCCCCCTGCTTTGAGAGAAATCTTCTGCATCCGTGGATGTTTTGCTGCCCTTGTCTAGCCTGGATTAATACTTAGTCCATAGGCACACACCTGATCATCTGATCATCTACATTTGCCCTCTTACAGCACTAAACTATGTTTTCTACCTTTATCTTGCATCTACCTACCACTTCAGCATTTTATTAAAAATAAAAATAATAATAATAATAAAGGGAGAAATGTGGGATCCACATATAAATCAAGTACAAAAATCAAACGAATATTCATATTTGACCTGATTGTTTATAGGTCATAATGCGTGATCAAAACCGAAAGTTTCTGTGATGAATGCCCTTGTACTGTTCACCATGTAAGAATTTATTCACTACGTAAGAATTCGTTCACCATGTAAGAACTTGTTCGTTATGCTTCAGAAGATTGGAGACTGACGAGAATTAGACTTGAGATGGATTAATGATTGTACATTGAGCATCGACCCCCCTATACTGAATTTTATTGTTGTTAACAACCATTTGATCAATAAATATGAGAGATGCTCTCTCAAAAAAATAAAAAATAAAAAATAACAGTGGCTACAAGACACACACACAGAGCTGTTAATGCAAGGTAGAGTGTGAATTGGGTGGAAATTATTTTTTTAAGGACATCAAGGAATATTACCCAGAAGAGCTGTCACATGAACTAGAAATAATACGTAGGATTTTAAGTAGTAGAGCTGCAAGATGGCATTCTTAGCCCAAGGAATAACAACAGAAAGAGCAACCAGAAACATTTCTGTGGCCCAGCGGTGAATCAAGGGGAGTAGTTAGCGATCAGGCTGAAATGTAGCGGGGAATCTCGAAAGCTGTGATAAGTACTTTAGCTTCATTGGGCAAACAGTGAGAATCCTTAAAAACTGAAGGATATTAAGTAACGAAGTATCAAGATTCTAAGGATTATTAGGAAAATCTTTCTGCCAGTGTTGGCAAGACGCCCGAGCAGAAGTGTTTGGCAGGGACTGGATCGTCACAGGCAAGAGGTCCCTGGGAGCACATCAGGTGCCTGAGGAGTGAGAGTGTAGCAGGGACAGCGGGCCCAAGGACACGTGTGTGAGAGGCACCCCAGGGACGGCCCTGGTTAGACTTGGTGAGTATGACCACAATTCTCAGTAAACTGGGAATGTAGGAGAACTTCCGGTTTGGGGAAAAAGAAGATATGTTCAGTTAGGAACTGGCTGAGTTTGAAGTGCCATCACTGTACCCAGCTGTGATGTTTACTTGCTATTGAAGGGTCATTAGTAAATAATCATAACAGAAGGCAGGACTGGAAAAAAACAGCTGCCTGAGTCCCCCACAGAGAGAGCCTGTTGAGGAGGGGAATACGGAAGGGAAGCAAGCAGCTGTGAAGGAAGGGCCTCCCGAGGAGGTCGAGGAGGTCGGGGAGGAAACGGTTCAGGGAGGGTCGTCAAGGTAAGAGGAGTCGGAGAAGAATGCATTTCCATGGAAATAAAGGAAGAGATTATTTGGAAAGGAAGATTGTCAAGAATGTGACAGAAAACCACAGGAGGGAGGAGGGTGGAGAAAAGGTCACCGGATTTGAACCCGAGCAGTCATTGATGATCTTGGACAGACCACTGAAAATAATAGCATGGACAGAAACATGGTTGTGAAAGATAAGTGAGGGAGTCGCAGGAAGTGGACATCACTGAATACACTATTGCTTTGGAAAATCTGATATTAAAAGGAAGGTGTAGTTCCAAAGAGCAGCAGGAGCTGAGGAGAGTGTATTTTTAGGCAGAAAATGTCTTGATACACATGAGAAAGGACTAACGGAGAGGAAGAGCTTGGTGGTGCAGAGAACCACAGATAATTAATTGATGGCTTATGCTCATCGATGAGGGTGTGAGTGAAATTACCACCACGGGCCCATCCTCACTCACCCTTTGGCCTCTAGGACCTGCCTGCGTAAGACAGTGGTCTGTTCCCGGAGCATGCCTGGCTCTCTCCTTTCTCCAGGGCTTTACACCTGTCATCCCTCTGCCAGGAGTGTTCTTCCCCGTTATTTCCTTACGGTCATTCTCCTCCTTAGCATTCTGCACTCCTCCGAGTGTCCGTCCCTGACCTAGCGCCCTGCCTGCCTCTACCGCCT